AGATGAATGTCGAATAAAATAATGAAAATACAATAAAATAAGTAAAAATGTATCTTTTTCAAGAAATATGATGAAACCGACAAAGGCTAGAACGAAGAGCGCCAGAAATCGAAGGGGGTAGATTTTCTGTCAGGAAGGGAGAGAGCTTCCCAAAGCAGAGGGATCGTTGTGGAAGATAGAGATAGACCACGATGTGTCGGCGTGACTTGACAATGAAGTTCCTATCTCCGATTCATTCTCGAGGCCCCTGGGTTCGATTCTCGTCGTCGTCCCACCTGTTTCGGTCTCGATACATCGATGACACCTCTATACACCAGCTCGCGACACCATTGGCTATCTTGCCTATCACTCATGAACCGGCCAGCTACTCGAAAAATAACGTAGAAGAGTTATAAAATTACGAAACTCGAGCCCGTCAAACAATCTTCTTAATTTCTTCTTCATCCCCTTATCCGCACTCTTTTTTGCAATTGGTATAATTATTTCATTAAATTAAATTTATTTTATTTTATTTTTTGCTATATATTTATTTATATATAAGTTAACTTGTAAATACTTTCTAATTATTTTTTTCCCTTTTTTTACTTTCCTTTTTTAAAAAAGGGAAGAAAATAATTGGAAAATATTTTTAAGTTACCTATAAATTTAAGTTACCTATATTTAAGTCACTTATATAATATTTTTAAGTTGCCTATAAATTTAAGTTACTTATTAAATTTAAGTTACTTATATTTAAGTTACCTATATAAATTTAAGTTGACTATATAATATTTTTAAGTTACCTATACATTTTTTAACTTATCTATAAATATATATATAGCAAAAAATAAATTAATTTTTAATAATGATACCAGGTAAAAATTAAATTGTATAACATAAAAAATTAATAGGAAAAGTATATAAATATTAAAAAAAGTTTCTTGATACGTATATGTTGAGCGAAGGTTATCGTAACGACATGCAAAAGTAATGTAAATCCCATTGAAACGAGCGATTAGTCGATCCGTCAACTTGTCGGATTCGACGACATGTGACATCTGCTCAAGGGATCGTCGAGGGTCGAAAATGATCAATTGTCAAACGACCCTCTTGTGGACAAGTCTGTTAAATTCTCATTAGAACTTTACCCACCTTTGTGTTTGAAAATCATGGAATACTTATATTTATTCGTACTTGTACAGCATAACTTTGTTTCTGTATTATAATTTTATAATCTACTTTCATATGTAGGGTGCTTTGACTCTTTAATTCGAATTTTTTAATTTGCAAAAATTTTATTAAAAAAAATTTTATTTTTTAAAATTTTTATTTGTCTTTTAAAAAAATCACAAAAATATTCTTATTTGAAAAACTGCAAAGTTCTAATAGCATTTTTAAAAATATAAAATTGATAAATTAATAAATATATGTATGCACTTTTGATTTTTATTTAATTTTGTGTTTTAAATTTACGCGTATAATAATTAAATTTCCATATCACATGTGAATTGATTAAATTATTTAATTGAAAATAATTGAAAAATACTTTATATATCGCACATAACAATTATTTAATTTTTACTAAAAATAGTTTAATTCTTGACTTTGATTATTCATTATTTATGAGCAATATTTAATAAAGAAAACAATTGATAATTTTAGACAACAAAATAAAAAAGGTTTTTTGTGTTAGTATCGATTTTCCATATTGAGAAATTAAAAATGTGAACATTAATGTTTTCAATCGTTTTGTGATAGATTTTTAATCTATTTATTTGATTGGATTTAAGCAGATTTAGACCTATTTTTATAATTTACATGCAATAATGTTTGTAAACAATGTAGATAATCGGAATTGTTGGAAATTGAAGCTGTTGGAAAAATGGGGTGGAAGAAAATGTTGAGGATGTAAACAAAGCTGTTGATAATCGGAACTGTGATCCCCTTTTCAAAATAACTAGATTTTTCTAGATAAACATTCTACATATATTTTATTTTTTAAATTAATTTTTTTAAATATATTTATATATAGGACAATAAAAAATATTGTGATTATGTGAAAATTTGTATAAATATATCTTACAAATTGTAATATATCTTAAATATATCTTAAATATTGTATAATATATTAAAGGTATACCTATAAAGTAAGATATATTTTACTTTTCTTCTCAATCACAATATTTTTTATTGTCCTATATATATAAATATACATATTTAAAAAACTTAATTTAAAATATAAAACGAAATTTTTTACATTATCTTTTTAGGTTGCATCATCATTTTATTTTTAAATTATGCTTGCTCATCAATATGCTACCTTGACAATAAAGATTTGCAAATGTATATATTTGTTCACAAAAACAACATAGAATTATTTAAAATATACATTTTTCTTGAGATCAAAAATCAAGCGTGAATTATTTTAATGTATTTTAATTTTAATTTAGAAAATTAAACTTAATCCCTAAATCTAAGATTAAAAGTGTAGTAAACTCGAGCGAAAGGAGAGAGAATCAAACTTACTCGTCTTCAATGAAATAAAAATCAAGATATGTTTGCGTATCAAAAATCTCGTGGATGGAATAAAAAAAAAAGAAAATCACGGAATCTCGAAATAAAACGGGTACCTCTTTAGTGTGTTGGCAATCCAGAAGAAATGCACGATGTGCCTAGAGCGAACGCTCTGTATATTTGTAGGGCGTTCTTGGCAAGCCCGGTTCTCTCTTTCGCTTTCAGCTGGGTTGCGAGTTTCGAGACTGCGAAAGAGGTGAACGTATTGTTTACCGACGTTCCATCTCGATGGTTTCATCGCCAAACGACGATGTCAGCAGAAATGGCGTTGCAAATAAAGCGAGGGAAGCGAGGGAAAGACCAGCGGATTCGCGCCACCGTTGCGTTGGTTCGTTCATGAAATCGCGCTCTGCGTGCTCGCGTTTCCAAGTAGTAAAACCAGTCGACCGTTTATACAATCCAAAGATTTATTCGCCGCTATGATAGTAATTTTGGTCAGACTTCACCGATAACTTGTATAATACATTTTTCGTATACATATATATATATATATATATATATATATATATATATATGTATATTTATATTCACATATATCGCTGTTGACACAATTTTCTGTCATCATCCCTTTTATAAAGGAAGCCAATTTTTCAACAAAAAATTGCAATATATTCGAGCCTTTTAATTTTTTTGTGTAGCAAAATATTCTTCAATGGAAATAAAATTTTCAACACATTTTTTATTAATATTATTCCTGTTTATCTTTTTTTAATTTTTTTTAAATAAAATGTCGATATAAGAATAATTTTGAATTGTAAATTATTAAAAATAAAGAATTTTTTATAACAAATTTGATCAAATTTTATGTATTATTTTTCATTTTTAGTTGATTTAATTTTTTCTATCATTATTCCTCTTTTATAAAAGACGCAGATTTAAATAAAAGAAAAATGGAAAATACTAAAAGTTTTAATCTCTTTCAAAATTATATTTTTTAAATTTGTTTTTTATTTTTGTATAGAAATATTTAATAATAATAAGATTATACTTAATATATTCTTTAGTTATTGATTTGGAAGTGGAACATTTTTTGAAGATGTTTAATTTATTGCATTTTGTAATAAAATATAAAGTACAAGTTATAATTGAAACATAAAGCAAAATATACATAATAATAATAATAATAATAATGATGATGATAATAATAATAATAATAATATATAATAAAATATAATATAAACATGATAAAAATATCTAATAAAATATATAATAAAACAATACTTTTTTGTACAATAATTTTTTTAACAAGTACATGCTTTGGCTTTCTTAAACATCTTTCTACTTTAAAAAGGTGTCGATACACGCTTAATCACATACTCATGCTATTTTTGAAACATTGAAAATGTAAATACCTCTTTGGATGATTATAATTCGCGACAAAATTCAAAATGAGAGTTTTATTTATACTTTTATGCGTCCGAAGTTTTATTGTACACGTGTATTTCAATATACATTTTTGTATGTATTTTCTATGTTTAAATGTTTTCTGTAATACGCATAAAATTTAAAAATAAAATTCTATCTTGAATTTTGTCGCGAATTATGGATCGTCTAAAGAGAAAAGCATTCGTATATAAAAATTTCATATATATATTTAAATAAAATTTATATCATCACTTATAACTTATAACATATATAACTTATAAATGACTTATAAACAATACATAACATATAAAATATATCGTCAAAATTTTCTATCTCGATAAATTAGATTATTTATATGTAATATGATATAAAGTATATAACATTTTGCGTTTTTCAAAGTGCGAAATATTTTTATCCCCCTAAATTATGCGAGCGTCACTTCGCGGAATGTCGCGCAATATTATTATGTATAATTCTTTGAGGAACTATATAAGGATGGACTGCTAACTTCACGCTGGTTTCAAGATCTACAGCGACACCAGTACCCAAGAACTAAAATAGTACTAATTATGTTATCATATGATTTAAAAATGATAGGTTAACTCAGCTCAAGATTAGCTTTAATCAGAACTGAAATTTGTTGAAACATATAAATGTATACATATTTGGAATTGTCAAAAGCAATGTACTTAAAAAATTACAGTGTGACTTCTTTTATTGTCTTAAATCGAGAGAGTATAAAAACATATAAAAAATTACAGTTTTTATCGGTCTCTTGCATCAGCTCATAACAATACTTATTTAATGCAAAAGTTCTGCAGTTGATTTGTGCACAAAATATGGCGCTCCCAATATAGATGACATGAAAGAATAATATAAAAGTAATAAAAATAAGATTAAAAGCCCGTATCAAAAGATTCGTACTTGAATTAATTATGTATGTATATTTGCGTGCGGAATCGATGTCGAGGTAGAAAAAATTAGTTAAAACAGCAAAAATTAGTTGCCAGACAGCGCTCCCCATTTATTATTATTAGTACTTTCATTATAGAGAATTTAAAAATCTGTACAATAAAAAGTGAACCTAGCTTAACTTAAAATCGATAAAACAGAACTACGGCAGCATCCCCTTAACGTTGATTTGATAAATTTGTTCAACCTTATTAGCCTATATAAAAATATGATAACCTAAATATAAACATATGTGACCAAACGTTTATGAATATATCAATGACTATTTGAATTTGGCGCGTTTTTGGGTACTGAGATGTTGGCTCGCAGAAGTGCTATAGGGTTTGTTCTTTATTGCTGCACTGGTGAATTAGTGCAACAAGTTAAAGTGAGATAAATATATTTTGTTTCACTCTAACTTACTGCACCAATGTACGCTAGTTCACCAGTGCAGCAATAAAGAACAAACCCATAGTTTATGCAGACCGCTAGCAGTCCATTCTTATACAGTCAAAGATATAATTAATTTGTTCCTCATATATGCAGACTTATTGAATTGTTTATTACTCACCAATGGAAGAATCCATTGACGTAACAAATGATTTCAAGTCCAACAAGCGCCCCCTCGGCGCTGTCGATGTCACAGATAGACTTCGGGGCTTGCGGGTGCGGGTTGATGTTGCGGTTGTTGTTGCTGCTGCGGATGCGGTTGCTGATTCGGGGTCTGGTGTTGTTGCTGCTGCTGCTGCTGTTGCTGCAGCGTCTGCTGCTGATGATGGTTGTGATTGTGACTGTGGTGATGACTTTGTCGCGCTCTCAACATCTCGTATCTCTGCTTGTAGAGATCGCGTTCCTGCTGCAGCCTAGCCATATCGATCTTTGTGCGCTGAAGCTCGGTCTGCAAATTCCGATTGGTCGTCTCGAGGTCCTGACGTTGCTGCAACCGTTTGCTGCGACAGTTTTGTGCGTAACCGCGATTCTTCAGCGTCCGCCGCTTCTGCTTCAGCCGCACCACCTTTGCATATTGTCGTAGAATTTGTTACAATCGGTGTTGCGCTTATAGGTGATTTTAAAATTAGCTGGATAAAGATGAGATGAAAATATGTATAAAATAAATATATCTAGATGAAAGATAAAGTTATATGACGATTCATTTAGATAATTTTCTAGATAATAATTTTTAAGACTGCTTATGTAAACACATAGTTATAAAAAAAATGCAAGTTATAAAAGGGATATAAAAATATATGTATTCATATTTTTATTTATAAATTTTTATCGTTTACTGCTTAAGTTTTATTATTTAAGTATTTTATGTGCTATGATTCTAAACCAAAATTATCTGAAAATTATTCTAGATCATTTAGTGAAGATAATGCTTTTTTCTATCTAAGATGCAGATATATGTAGATAATACATATTTTTATTATCCTTTTAAAGATAAGATGACGCCAAAGTTTCATCTAGAATCTAGATCTATATAATTTTAATTAGATAACAGCAAACACTGGATACAATTAAACAGATCTGTTGCAATTTAACAGTAATTGGCATTTATGACCGATGGATTTTTTACAACAAAAATAGGTGAATGTGAAAACATTATATACACCTCTTTTTCTTATCGATTGCTTCGATTTTTACATATATTTATAATGAATAAAATCTTAAGTCATGCGCACTTTGATTAATACTGCGATAAATTTTTAAAATGAATTTAAAACATAATAAATAAAAAAAAAATTAATAGTATTATTTATTATGGTTATATTAATACTTTCTATAATATTGATCATAAAAGACTTTAAATTTATTTTAAAAAATCAAGGGTGGCTGAACTTTCAATTTTTATAAACTCACAAATAATAAAACTAAAAATAAAAAAATATAAAATTATATATTTATATGAATTATATAATATATAAATATTCAAACTGTAATATTTATCTAAAACACTTTGCTAAAATTAATTTTTACAGAATTGTCGAAGTATTTTTGTTGCACGTCCTACTCTGTATATCTGTAGAATGCAATGTTATATTTTTCTTGCAAAATTACTAGAACGAATTTGTTTGTCCATAAATAATTCAGCTTGCTTGCTAACAGTTTAATTTATTGTTTATATCGTTTTAATTGTCAACAATCTCGATTGCTTACAAGCATTATTGCACATGCAATAATTTGAAGTGAACTTATGTTGACGCATATAACATTATTGTGCACATGCACATATAATTTTATTGCGCACGTATATGTATATATGTTTATATGTATACACATATAACACATAAAATATGGAAATTATATTAACACTTTATGCACATGACATTATTTGCACAATTGCATTTTTTAAAAATACGTGTAATATGCGTGTAATAAAATCATATGTGAAATATGAATGTGCGCAATAATATTTTATGTGTAAAGTATTAATATGATTTCTTATTTTGTGAATATAATTTTTACATGCGCAAAGTTTTATTGCGATTTTCATAGTTTATGTGCGCAATAATGTTATGTATACAAATGCGCATGTGCGCAAACTTAAGTTTGTAATTATGAAACATGCACAGTGTTTGCTGTTATCTAAATAAAATTATATAGATGGTCATCTATAGATGAAATTTTGGCGTCATCTTATCTTTATATAAATCATAAAAATATGTATTATCTATATCTGCATCTTAGATGAAAAAAGTTATCTTTACTAAATTATCTAGAATAATTTTCAGATAATTTTGGTTTAGAATTATAGCATATAAAAATGCTTAAATAGTAGAACTTAAGCAGTAAGCGATAAAAATTTATAAATAAAAACATGAATATATATTTTTATATTCCTTTTATAATTTACTTTTTTATAACTGTGTGCATAAGCAGTCTTAAAAATTATTATCTAGAAAATTATTTAAATAAATCGCCATATAATTTTATCTCTTATCTAGATATGTTTAAAACAAAATTATCTTCATCTTATCTAAGATAAATTTACATATTTTTATCTTATTTTCATCTAGCTAATTTTAAAATCATCTAAGCACAACACTGAACATGCACAATAATAATCGGTAACATTAGTTTATAAACGCAATCGGTAAATCAATTTAAAAGCTATTTATTAAAAGTATAAAATAATTATATTAATTTTACACTTTAAGAAAACATTATTAGATATATTTCCAATCTGATAATATCGCGCGACACTGGACCGATTTTAATTGTTATTTTATTTGAAAATATGTTAATATACCATACATTTACCTGTTCCCGCGGACAGCCGTGGAGACGCTTGTTGAGCTCGCGCACCGACAGCGACATCAGCAGCTCGTCGTCCATGAGCTCGTCCTGAGGATTCGAGCCGTTGCAATTGGAATAGAGACCATTAGCCGAGCGATGGACCGAATTGGGACCCCCGGCCCCGCAGGAACTGACGGAACAGACGCTCAGAGGTCTGCCGGGTTGCATCGGTATACCCTGCATGCTGTCTTCCATTCCCTGCATCACGCTGCTGCCGGCGGGCAGCATCCCACCCCCTGCCCCAGGGCTATAGTAGTCCAGATGATTCGACATCGTCAGGTATCCACCTACCGACAATAAAACGCGCGCGCGATGATGCAGGATCGGTGTTTGTGCTGTTATCTAAATTAAATTATATATGATGAGCTAGATGAAATTATTTAGATAATTATCTAGATGATTATCTAAATGATTTTATCTAGATAATCATTTAGATGGTTGTATATATTCTTATTATCTATATAAAGATAAGATGACGAAAAAATTTCATCTAGATAATTTAATCTAGATAATTATCTAGATAATTATCTAGATAATTATCTGGATAATTATCTAGATAATAATTTAGATTATTTAAAATTGAATAGCTTATTTTATATATATATATATATATATATATATATTAAAAAATTTTAAAAAGATTATTTAAAAATAAATTTACATTAAGATCTCATCTAGATGATTATCTAGATGAAATTATCGATATAAAATTTTGGCATCATTTATCTTTATATATAAATAATAAAAATATGTATTATTTACATGTTTGCATCTTAGATGAAAAAAATGTTATTTTTACTAAATAATTATCTAGAACAATATTCAGATAATTTTGGTGTAAAGTTGATATAAAAATACTTAAGCAGTAAGCGATAAAAAGTAATGAGTAAAAATATCAACATATTTTTATATCCCTGTTAGAATTTACATTTTTTTATAACTTGTTACCATAAGCGGTTTCAAAAATAATATTATCTGGAAGTTATCTAGTTGAATTCCCATGTAATTTCATTTTTTATCTAGATATATTTGAATAACAAAATCATCTTCATCTTATCTAAGTATACATAATTTCATCTCATCTTTATCTAGCTATTAATTTCTTTAAAATATAAATGTAGTACTACTTAGATGATCTTAAAAAAGTTACATATAAGAACTCTTAAAAAATTTTGATCGAATTATTTATAATAATTTCTTTAATTAAAATACTTAATTTTTTACATTAATTGTTATTGTACTATTATCTTTCTGTGCAATTAAATAAAAATGTTTTTTCGAAAATATTCATAACGAGGGAGTGTGTAGACATTATGTGTGCAAAATAACGAAGATAATCTCTTGTAAACTCATCGTAAAATGAAATGTCGCGAACTTCCTGTCTATGATAGCATAAAATTACAATCACGCAAGCATTAAAACAACGAACGTTGTCAGAAATGTCATTTTTGTCGATTTCATACATCTTTACTCTATAAAAATCACTTAACGGATGTTTCTTTAGTAATATGGAACAAATCAAAACAATTTAATAATTTTTAATCACTGCAAAAATATAATTATTTATAAAATTTCTTGCATTTCTATTTAAAACATTTTTTAATTAATTACAACAATTTACACAATTTTCTTTCTATGTTACTATATTTTTTATTTTCTATTTTATTACAATCACAAATAAAATAAATTTCCAAAACAAATAATTCTTCTCTATTTGTTAATATAATACAATATCTACTTTATAAAATATTAAAGGAGGAAAAAGAAGAAAATATCAATGCTAATATCAATATTGTTTGAAACGTGCGACTAATATTGTTTATTTGAATGTTATGACAATATCATGTTATGACAATACTAACGTCTTATATCATATACACAATGTACGTTGTTTTTCGTGTTAATCAATTTTATCAAGAAAACATATTTTGTTTATCATTTTTCATCTTCATCACAAATAGCCTATATGCGTCCGAGATTAATTTGGTCATATTATGTCAGAACCACTCTGTATATAAAATTAAATACATTATAATAAATTGAAAAGACTGATATATTAATAAAAAATTAGGTATAAAAAAATTTTTAATAATTTTTTAAATATATTTTTCTAAATTTTTTATATAATTAAAAAACTTCTGATCTTATATTTACTTTTTTCTAAATTTTTTATATTTTTCCTTTAAAAAATTTTTTCTAAATAAATTTTTTTTTTCTAAATTTTCTATGTAATTAAAAATCTTTTTTCATAATTTGAATGATTGCTTTCAAGTTCTTCTTCACTATTTTATCCAAGACACTTTCAATAGAGGACATTAAATCATAAAACAGCATAACTGATTTTTTCCGAAATTCTCTCTTAAGGTGCTGATCATGTCTGTTTTACGGACTTTGAGTTCAAGGGCTTTTCTTTTATGGCTATACAGATTGAAAAATCCTTCTCCACAATTAACGTACTGATAATAATGAACGGGGTGCGCTGTAATTTCGTATAAAAAAGCAATAAAAGTTAAAAAATTGCAGTTTTTTATCGGCCTCATGCATCAGCTCATAACTATACATATTTAATACAAAAGTTCTGCAGTTTATTTGTGCACAAAATATGGCGCTCTCAATAGAGATGACATGAAAGAATAATACAGAAGAATAATACTTTATTGCGAAGGATTTTTCAATCTGTATATTCTCAATAAAAAGTGAACCTAACCCAACTTAAAGTCGGTAAAACATAACTACGGCAGCATCCCCTTAACCCTTTAAGTCCAAGATTCAGATTTTGAATTTAGAAATGCTGCTGCCATATTGGATTTCGAACGGTACGGAGCGGGATTTTTTAATATTTACAACTTATTTGAAATTGTTTAATTGAGAGCGTGATGAAAAATGTAAATTATAGATTGATGCGTTTTAAGAATAATCTAAAATGCACGCGCCAAATATGGCACGTCAGGCACTAAAGGGTTAAGATCCTCCCCTAAAATAAGTGAAATTCCGGTGTACTCACCCGTGTGCCTGGTGGGTCTTGGAAGATGCTGCAGCTCCTGGAAGTGGTGATGCACCGGTGCGGCGGACCAGGACTCGTGATGGGGCTCCGGGGTCTGCTCTTGGGGACAGTGGGGTCTCAGGTCCAGGGGTTCCTGCCTGAGGGACTGGGTGAGCCAGCTCATGCCGCCGGTGCTCACTTGTATCTCGTCCTGCACCAGGGCCGGCGGCTGCTGCAGCTGCAGCAGGATGCCTCCGCGGTCCCGCGGGTCTCGCCCAGCCACCCGGTGATCTCGCTCGGCTCCGCGGTGCAGCTGCAGCGGCGGCGGCGAGGCCGAGACCGGCGGCGTGTCCGGCGGCGTCCCCGGGTGCGACAGGGTGGTGAGATGCGCCGCGGCGACCGGCGGCGCCTTCACCAGGACCCCGTGCTGCACCTGGATGTGGGGTTGGCCGTACAGGGGATGGGGCTGCTCCAGCTCGTGCGCGGGAGGAGTCAGCGGCGTCAGCGTCAGACTTTGCGGCTGCACCTGACCCGGGAGCTGCACCACGTTGCTGTTCACCATCACCGTCGGCGAGCCCATTCGTACCTAGGAATTTTCAACGGGAGATGATTTTTCGATTTTTGCGCCTATTGTTCATTATGCTATTCTTATACGTGAGAAACGTGAGGAATTTTGTCCTTTTTTTGAAAATTTGCTAAGGCTTCTGAATAATTAATTAATTATTTTTATTTTGCCTAATTTTATCCTATTTTAGATAATATGTAATTGTTTTTATTTTATTTTATTTAAAAAGGTTACATATATAATTATATGTTCTATTTTTATTTTTCTTTTAATTTTCACACCGAATATGAAAAGGGTCTCTTTTTTCTCAAATTTTCTAAGGCTTCTGAATAATTAAAAATTATTTTTGTTTTGCCTAATTTTATCCTATTTTAGATTATATATAATTGTTTATTTTATTTTATTTAAATAATTAAATTATTTGTTCTAGATTTTTTGTTTTTCAAATATAATTTTTTGTTCTGTTTTTATTTTTGTTGTTTGTGCCTTCAAATAATTTTGTAATATATACGTATTTATATTATTTCTTATTATATTATTTATATCTATTATCTTTTATATTATTTTGAAAATATAAATTATATTGTGTTATATTTTTCTGGATTATTAAATATATTAATAAAATTATGTATACACACATATTTATCGTAAGTTTTTATCACTTATTGCTTAAGTTCTACTACTAAAATATTTTTATGTGCCATGATTCTAAACCAAATTATCTCAACATTATTCTAGATAATTTAGTAAAAATATCACTTTTATTTTAGTATTTATTATTTTATGAATTACTTATGCAATCCAAAAATATATGGGAAAAAAGTAAGATGACGAAATGCGTAAGATTAACTCAGAGACTTTTGATAATCATAAATAATCTCTTATATAAGTTGCGTGCGATCCGTCTCAAGGAAAGTAGATAATGTGATAAAAAAAATATATATATATATATAATTAATATAATATAATATAAATAATATTATGTCCCCAAATATAAGAAATTTCATAAGTAATACTTACATTGCACAAAAAATAATATCTCTTGTGCACATTATTATGCATCATTTGAGAGCAATTTTTCTCTTTTAAAAGTACTATTTTGTACTATTTTAGTATTTATTAATTTTTGAATAAATTTCATGCAATATTACGTGAATAAAAATGTGAAAGAGAGATAAAACGATAGTAAGATGGCCTAACTCGTTAGAGATCTTTGATCTAACTTCAGGAAAATAAATAATATAATTAAAATCTTGGATGTGCACTGATGTAATTTTTTTGGCGTTTGCTCGTAAGAATTGCGACATAATTTTATAAGAAACACTTTCACAGGGAAAGTCACCAAGTAAAAGGAAAACGTCTGAGAAAAGTTTTAATTGCACTTACTAAAGTAAAAAATGTAGATTTTTTTCTACATAATCCCCCCTTTCTTCTTTCATTTCTAAGCACTTAATTGGCTTTTGAACTTCGTCTTGGAAGTGACATAACTTTTCCGAAATTTTCAAACGATTCTGTTTGTCCGAGTTTGTCAACTCAGTAGTAAAATCCAGCACAGACTTATCGAACATTTCGGGACGAATTTTGATTTGCCGATCATCACGAAATCATTCGATCGATGTTGATGTTTGATCTTTGAAGCGGAAGATCTATTTGAACTCTTCACATCGCGGAGAGAAATCCGGTCATTTTTTAAATCATCTATCTAGTCATAAATCATACTTCGACTTGAACTTTCGTCATCGTGCTGCTGCTGCAATCTGCAAATATAATTTTTCCAAGCCTTTCATCCCTCTCTGAGCGAAAAACACTCATCACTGTTTGCACTTCTTCTTTGCAGTCAGAGCACTCATTTTAAATAGTGAAAAAAGTAGTAAAATAAAATAAAAAATTAAAAATGTAAAGTAAAATAAATAGTAAAAGAAAACTAAATGATGAATCACTATTCTCAGCACACAAAAACACTTTGGAATATTTTAATGACACAACAGTCGGATTTGCCAGCCACTTGAACTGGAATTCAAAGATTCTTCCTACTTTCCTTGTAACATAATATTAATATTTTATATTTTTCATATTATAATGTTTTTATGTGTGAAATAAATCTGTTTTCCATTCTTAAAATAAACTAATTGAATTTATGTTATCAAATATGTCGAAAACTATATAAAATTATGTGTAAGAAACTATACTTAGATATTAAATATTATGCGAAAATTAATAAATATGATATAATCTTTAGGTTCATGCTTTATAAAATAAAGCTAAATATTTTTCAATTTAATATTTGATTCCGTGTAATATTTGAATTTTTTCAGATTTCTCTAACAAATTCTCTTAAATGTTTCTAAATAATTAATAATTATCTTTGTTTTGCCGAATTTTATTTTATTTTAAATTATATACTTATAAATTGTTTTTGTTTTAATGTTTTAATAATTTTGTTTTGTAAGTCGTTATTTTTTGTTCTACTTTTATTTTTATTTTATTTATACGTTCAAATATTGTATTATTGAAATAATATAAAAAGTTTATCATAATAAATTTTTAAAAATTGTTTATTTTCTTATTTGACTTGCTTGCAGCAAAATTGTAATTAAAAAAGAAACAAAGATTACAACAAAATAATTTTATACATAGTTACTTAATCAAATTTCAATCTGAACATCTCAAATAATAATCATAATTATAAAAAAATGACGGAATATCATTATTAATTAATGTTTAATGTGTAATCGTATATTTTAATGCTTAGAATTTTTAAGTGATCAAACAATTTGGACGATCCGAATTTCAAGACTAAAATCTTGAATTTTTCAGATTATTTAAATTTAAATTTAATTTAAACAGATCGAGTTATATGTATTGTTTTTAGACGATATGAAGTTGAACAATGTATTGTGAATAAAGAATAAATAGAAGCTATGCAAACTTTGCAAATTTGTCAAAAAATTTATGACCGTACTTTTTTGTGAAAAAGATAATCACGTGCAAAATCGTGTTAATTGACAGTCACGTGTTAACCTGACAGTCGCGTGTTAATTTGACAATCATGTGATAATCTCACTTACAGAATCGCGATATAATTGATTTATACATTACAACGAATATAATATTTTCATCGTGCACTCTGTGTGTTATACATTTTGAATAATAATGTAAGATAACATCTCTCTCTCTCATCCGGTAAAAAAATTAAACAGAATAAATCAGATCTCGGATTTAGTTATACCTGTATATTTCACACATTTATGGATTTTTCCATTTTAATTACTTTTATTGCTCTTTATTAGGTTATACGAAAGTTTTGATATCACCATTTCAAATTTTTTTAAAACAAGTAATTTTTTTTAAACTAAAAGGAAAATTAAAATTTAAGAAAATTCTTTCCAAAGCAACATATATTAAAAATTGTAGGAACATAAAATTCATGATAAAAAATAGAAACAAAACTATGACAGCTTTAGAGATTTATAGAAAACGTATTATAAAATAACGTAATATAATTAAAAATAAATAATAATCCTTAAGGTTGCCAGTAATAATTAATAAAAAACCACTCCTCAATGTTTAAAGTCGACCAGACTGGCAATAATTTATTATAAATAATTATTTGAAATACAACAACAACGTTTCGGCTGTCATTGCAGCCCTTTTCAAGTACATCTATAAAAAGTTCAATCAAAATAATTATAATTTAATACACTTATTCGCAACAATTAATTATACATTTAAATACAAAAATGTGTTACATACCAAATTTAAAACAGTAAATCAACTTCTATGCAAACTACCGACAATGTTAACGCTTGTTTTGATGAACAATGTAAGACTGACAGAAGTAAGCACATATTAAATAGATGTTAACTGTTCACAAGAATCTTAGTCACTAAGCGTTAAGAAGAACTAAGCGTTTTTTTTTTAATAATTAAAAATATTTTGTCGCTATTTAAATTTATAGTATAGTTCGAAAAAGAAAATTACAGGCAAAAACTTCAAGGTTTTACAAAACAGCAGATTTTGCATATAAATGAATAACAAATAAATTCGATGAAACTTCAGGCTTTTATCGAGCAAATTAATAAAACGGATTAAATTTATATCAGTTCTGGTAAAGTGCGGAATTTAATTTAGGAAATTTTCGGGTTGATTTTTTTGTATCTTTGCTTTAATATGGGCGATTCAAAACAAAAGCACGAACTAAGCTTATAATTAATAATACAGAAAAGGCATAAAATCCTAAACAAAATAAGTTCTATATAAATTGCACGTTTTTCTATCTTTAATGTTATATAAAAAATTTAATATTGTGTAAAAATAAAAAATATAAGTCTCTATAAAAAGGAGCAACATCACAGAAAGTTAGGTCATTATTAATAGTTCAAAATTTTTTATTTGCTACTTCCTTCTATCATAAATTGCGAAGAGAAAAGAGAGAAATGTACCGAGATTTATCTTGTGTACACAGCGTTAAATTTATTTATTTATTTATATACAGGATGTCTGACATAAGGTGTCACACCGAAAATATACAAGTAGATTTTGTTATTTGGAGACGATTTTTCCTCAGCAAAAATGTTGCGGATGGCCATCATTTTTTGTATGTTTCCAATTTTTGCCATCATGTATCTTTATAACTAAAATTTTATTAAAGTAAACTCTACTTGAAATTGATTGGAGAATGTGGTTTTGTCAATATTTTATGTCTACAAGGTTAAATTTGCGTTAAATTTGCGTTAATTTAAATTTTCAATTGTTTATAACTCGAAAATGATTGATGCCTCAATATTTTTGCTGAGGAAAAATTGTCTTCAAATAACAAGATCCACTTGTAAATTTTCGGTATGACACTTTACGTCAGACACTCTGTATATAACATATACCAAATAAAATATTTTTTGCTCTAAATCGAATTGAAAAAAATTCACCAATATTACGTATAAAAATAAAAAATATAAATCTCTATAAAAAGGAGCAACATCACAGAAAGTGGTCATTATTAGCAACTCCAAATTTATTTCTCTGTCACTTCTTTCCATCATAAATTGTGAAGAGAAGAGAAAGAGCAGATATATCTCAATAACCCGAGGTATTCCTAGAAACTCGCCTCTTCTCAGGGCTCTCTTACCTCTCGTTTGACGTCAGCGGGATCCAGATGATCGAGAACGAACTCCTGCACGTACTCTCTCGCTAGATGGTCTTCGGCTTCCATCTTAACCTCGTCGACCTCTACTTCCACTTTCTCTACCGCGTCAGTTGCGGTTGCATACGTGAGCGTCTCTTGCTTGCCTCCGCCGCCGCCTCCACCGCCGCCTCCGTCGTCTCCACCGCCTCCACCGTTTCCGCCGCCACTGCCTCCGCCACTCGAGCAACTCGTGACCGTTGTTTGTTGCGTGGAGACTACTTTTTTCGCTTGAATATTCCACCCGAGAGGAAACTAGACAGATGACATGTGCGGCTCCGTCTGGCCACGTGAGTGGCGAACCTAAGTTTCCACTAGTTTTCACAAAAAAGGTCTCCAATTAGCCACTGAAGATAAAAACCCGAATACTGATCATCTAAAGCAATGATTTGTCAACAATAGGTGGTGGCTTCTTGTCTGATACCAGTTTTGCTACTGATCATTATTTGTCCCTTTAATCTCGATTCTAACACTAGTTTTCGTGATTATAAAGAGATTCCTTTAAGCATCTAAGGGACACGCAAACCAAGTTCCGCAGGCTTGAACGGCAATAGATTAAATAATTGGACGAAGGGTCCTCTTTCGGAAGGAGATGATGGGGTTGTAACAACTTGCTTTTCGCAGATCAAGTAAAGGATTAATCGTTCTACCGGAATCCCACGATGAAGCCAAAGTCAAGAAGGGTTACAATAAATATAGAGCAATGTTGTATGTGCCAAGTCGTTAGCTTGTATCAGTTAATTACCTCTTCTCAAGAAGAGGGAATTCAAGTTCAGGAGACCTCACTTCGTTTCTATTTATGCTTTATCATCACTTTCCAACACACTGCGCGTTGATCCTCTCACAATATAATCACAATATTCATCCGCAAGCACTTGACACTTGAACACTTTTCCCGCTAAAAAAAATTCTAGGTGGATCTCTTCGTCTTCCAGTTCAACTTGGGACTATCGTGCTTTCGCAATCAATCGTGGTTCCTGTTATTTCTTCCTCTCCCAAGATCGAAGAAATACGTATTTAATCTTCTAATTTGTGAAACCTCGTAGATCAAACGCTGCTGACTCCACCCCCCGAAATCGATTCGTGGATCAAACGTTCCTCCCCTCCCCCGTCGAGAGAGATCGTGTATACTCCATATTTTATATATATATATATTTTTTCAATTTTCGCGCTCCTTAGAGCGAGAAATCAGACTGAGAGAAAAGGACGAAGAGAGATGCGAAGAAAAAGCGCGCTCGACGAGGAGGAAGGAGAAAAAGCGATCGCGTGACAGACGGCAGTAGATACGCCGTCGAAGTGATGACTGGCCAGACGTACTCCAAGAGTGGATGCAGGTCGCGTTCTTCGCGCGCAGGGCATTTAAGTGACGTCACGCGCCGAGTGGGCGTGGCCCGGCGCGTTCGCTCCTCCGACGCGGCCCGCGATTGGCCCGCTCTGAATTGCGCCGCCATTTGCACACCTCCCCCATTTAACCCCCACCGGGGAGCAAAGCGTAAATCTCTTTTGCCGCGTCGCGCGGCGCGCAGATCCGGTCATCCGGAGGTACCCCCATTAATTTCTAAAGTGATTATTATAATTTTTCAGTTGAGCGTGATCGCGTGCAAGCTCTACCCCTTCCTCCCTCCCCCCTTTTTTCCACTCCCTCTCTCTCTCTCTCCCTCTCTCCCTAGAGTGAGTCGCCTCCGATATTGCGCCTCCGACATAATAAAGCCGCGACACTACCCTCTTTTCGCCTCTCTCTCTCTCTCTCTCTCTCTCTTCTAGGACGCGCCGTATCGCGGTTTTTCGCTTCTTTCCTTCGGGATTTCAATTTACCGGCGGTCGGTACGAGTGACATTTTATCTGGCAATTGCGATCTCAAAACAAATGAGGCACGATCTTCTCTCTGCGAGGAGGCTCGCGCAGCGATCGAGGACGGGTCACGGGGTGTCTATGACGCGTCGTTCTCGTTTTAAGAGGAGGGAGAAGCACGAGGGAGATAAATGCTCCTGCCAGGGGGGAACTTGGGTGGCTGATCGCTGATTAAACGCCTGATTAAAGAGATATTGGTCCACGCGTGTTTGAATTTTCGCGCAACCGGAAGCGAGCATTCACAAAAGTCTGGGAATTTAAAAGTTTATCTCGGAGAGCTCGATTTGCGTGATTTGTTTCATCTTTGACACAGTTCGCGAAACGACCTTGTTCCTATCGAACGCGTGGATTCATGTCGATATTTTATATTTTAACTACTACACACAAATGTTTTTATATAATTTATATATATATATTTATTTATTCATTTAATTGGTCCTTTTTTTTTTTAGTATATATAATCAATAAAATAAGCAAGAAAATCTTATAATGAAAGTATACTTCTTAAAATCGATATTTATTGAAATATAAACAGTTTTATTATCAGCCCTATAATCTATTTGATTTTATCCCACTTCGATAAAAAATTCAACTCTTCGTCGTAAAAAAATGCGAAGTCTTAAAAATTCTGCTTTTCTTCATATAACGAGTATTTCGTCAATTCGTCAATTTTATAAAGTGTCAAGTTCGAACGTTCTTATATTTAATATCAGAATGCTGCTAATGTTGACAGATTTCTTGCTACATGCATTCTCAACAGTGTTTATTTATTTAAAAAAAGTATTTTAATAAAGATATATTACTAATAAAATTAATGAATGAGTTGTATTTATATGATACACTGATAGAGTGAACTTATATATTATGATGGATTTTTATCATTCGTTTATATTTCGATAAACATTCAATTTTAAAAAATTTGTTTATTAAGATCTTGTTTTTTTTTTATTATTTTATATATGCTCAAAGTTTGTATTCCTTCTTCTGAAATATCCTGTATACATTTTAATGCGTATGTGGCAGATGAAACAATTAACAAAAATTTGTCGAAAAATACAAATTCGTTATTGTTGTAACTTTAACAAAATATATGTGTTAGAGAAACGTAATTTTAAAATTTTGTCTTATAATTTATATGTATTTCCTACATTATAAATATATGTTGGAAATAAATATGAATCATAATATTTTTTAAAAGAAGTAAATTTTATTATCTAATTAAATTAAGTTCGTATATTCTGATTTTAATTATATTATATTATAAACATTAATTAATGAACATAAATATAAATTAATAAACAAATATATTAATTTATAAAAAAACATTATTATTATTATTAACATTTCAATAATGAAATTGCACATGTGTAAAACTACAGAGAATAACTATGTGTAATTATATATATAAATTTAACTGCTACATTTTAAACTTATAAACAATTCAACAATTTTACAATGTTTTATTCTCTATAATCTAATAAAAATATAATATTATTAAATGACACAAATATAATTATATATTAATTACATTTAGTTATACCATTTAATATTATTAAATAATACTTACGAATCACGCACGATTGTATACATAGTTTCCAAAAAATAGGAATATTCTTCAATTAGCAAAAAAGTTTAAGCTTTTAAAAACATTGATCATATTACATTCCTTTTCCATTTTTTAAACACGTCTAGACCTCAAAATGCTTTCTTGAACTTTAAGGTCTAATCGAACATAAATGAGATCTTTCAATGCATTATAACCATCATCGACAGGCGAGCAAGCATCATCATCACCATCCAGAAAGTCGAAATAGTGACGAGCGAGGTGACAATAGGTCTGGCCATTTCGTTGAGCGCAAGGAATTTGTCGACGCTGCAGTTCAACATCCTCCGTCCATCGTTTCCTTCCCGCGTTTTACCTTCGCCATTTATTCGCGCTCGATATATGCCATTCGATTTCTTAGTGTAACAAGTGTCGGAAATTTTCCACCCGTCCAGACGCACTAGTTGCACGATTTTAAATACATCACTCTTGTCCCTTTTGTAAAATTTACAAAACTTTATTAATGCGAACAAGAATTTATCAAAATATATAATTAAGAGAAAGCAAAGTTTTAAAGTTTTTTTACATTCTTAGAATTTTTTATTCTAATAAAAGAAATTTTTCAATCGATGCTTTTTTTTTAAAAAAACCTCTTGAATTTTTTACATTGAAAAAAATTGTTAACTTAACTTAACCTTTTATATAAATATTATTTTGTTAATTGAACATTTAAAATTAACATTTTATTTGTTTCAATTTCATTTGATTTGACAGCTGTCAAAATTTGACAGATACGTCATCAACATTATAATATATGTAACATTAACTTTTTAAAAATAAATCTATTTCGAATAAAATGTATCGATTTGAAATACTTCGATTTTATCTTATAATTTTGTTGTAAAGTATGAAAAATTATCCGAGGGAGAAAAGAAGTAAATAAAATTTAAAAGAAATTATTTAAAAATAAATATAAATCACTAAAAACAATTCTGTATAAAAATCTAAAATATTTTTATTATAAAAATTAATTATTTTAAAACTATATATATAAAAATTAATGCAATTTTTTGCATTATATTTGTTTATCTATTAGAGAAATATATTTAATTATATTTAAAATATAGTTTAACAGAAAAAAGCGCACTTTTTTCTACTAATTCATATTTCTAAATATGCTAACAAAATATTTAATTTAATAATGCAATTGACGGATATAATCTAATAATGAATATAATCATGTCATTGTACTCTATGTCAGGTCTTTTCATTAATTACAAACGCGGTCGCGTGCGTATGCACCCTTGTTGCAATTCGTTATGCTCGTTGAAGCGCATAATTGAAATTGCTAATAGCATAGTTTCCTTCCCACAAAAACACAATCGTAATTTCTAGTACAACAACTCGATTGTAACAATCAATTTCGAGTGGAGTTCGAATTTCTAAGAACAAAACTTTTTAAATCCTGTTTGTTACTATAATATTAATATCGTGTAATAAATTTTATAGATATTAATTATTTATATAATTATTTCCTTTGTCGTAATTATTTTAACAATTAAATTAATTAAAGTGTATATATATGTATGAATTATATTAATTACTATTAACAAAACAAATCAATATGAAATTAATAATATTAATTTTAATTCTCTGCTTACATTTTTTTTTATTTTATTTCTCTATCTTTAAAATAATAATAATAATAATACATGTTGTATCTTAAGTAGAAAAAATGTCTTAAAGATAAAAATAATATATGTAAAGGAAGTAAAAGATATACATATATGTATATAGAATTCTTATAACGTTAAGAAATATTCTGAGATTTTTAAATCACTTTTGTTTTTAAAAATTGATA